GTTCTAGACTAGATCCCTTTTTGTACTCATTTACTATGATCGAATATATCTTTTAACACCCAAATCACCATGTTCAATTGTGCAAGCTTTAATTCCTCATGCCAAACCATGTTCTTTGTCACTACAAAGACCACGTGGGGGTGCCCATGGCAGTGGGCTAAGACCATGTGGGGTTCCCATGGCACCCGGACTAAGACCCTGGAGGGTTTCAATGGCATCCTTATATGTTTGTATGCAATGCTTATATGGATTATGTGATTATGCGGATTTATGTGGGGTATGTTATGGGGAACTCACTAAGCTTCGTGCTTACAGTTTTATTTATGGTTTCAGGTATCACCGGTTTGGAAAGGAAGGGTCTGGCTTGATCGCAGCGCACACACCTATTTTTCCGCATTATGTGATTTTGGGATATAAATCTAATAAATGTTTTAATTAATCAATGTTTGTGAATGTTTGAATTAAATAATATATGTGTTGGCCTATACTGAAAAATGAAATTTTTACCCTGGATTTTTGGTTCATTACAAGTTGGTATCACAGCCTTGGTTTGAGGGATTCGGACGTACTCTCGAGTGTGTCTGAACTCAAACTGAGGTTTTGGTAAAATTTTCAAAAGAAAAATATTTTAAGAGAATAAACTTTCTAACATAAGAAAAGGGTGTGGTGCATGCAATCAGCCGAGCTCAAGTAAGTTTCCCATAATACCCATATATGTTATCTGTTATGACTTGATTTATGAATCGCATGCTAGTTAGGGCTAGGAGAGATGCCTTTGTATGTATGTTGTATGAGCTGGTAGACTTGCATACTAGTGTTGATTAGTCAGCGATAGATTGGCCGATATGTTATGCTTATAGCCTTGGAAGTATTGGATGTTATGCTAGAACAGGATTGATTATTAATTGCTACATGTATGCTTTAAAAATTGTATATGAATAGGATCCGATAGCCTTAGAATGATCTGGACGTGTTACCTATTCTGTGTAAAAATTTGCATGCATAAGGAAACAGACGGTAAGGGTGTAATTCTAGCATAAGTTGTAGTGTGTGGGTCGAAGGTTCGGTGATGGCTTATGGATTGGAGTGATACTGCACGAATGCTACTTGCTTTGTGCCTTGTGGGACTCTTAAGTGATGTGAGTTAGCTATTAAGTGAATGTGTTAAGTCACATGGCAGTAAAGGTTGAATAATCTCAGAGTGATGGATTTGACCCTATTGCGCAGCTCTCGTTTGAGTCAAACCATTGCAGGGATGAGTCTTTTACTCGAAGGATTATTCGAGCTTTATTGCATGTGACTATATTCATGAGGTAGCTAACTGACATTATGGGGAGTTCTTCAACAGCTGATGGCAGGGAGAGGACGGAAACCTAGGAAAGCCTAGGAAATGCTTTAGTGGATTTGGTTGTGCTGTTAGCGAGTATTTAGAGTACCAGTTTGAGAGGGTGACTTAGAAGATTCGGGAGGATTCTTGAGGAAAGTATGGATAGGTATGGAAGGTAGTATTGGTCCCGTACTACTAAAAGCACATGATCCATACTCAAATCGGAAAGAGTCTTGGAGAATCTAGGAAGCCTGTGGGATGAGGATTCTTAGGTATACTCAGATTTCTTCCATTTCATTTCGGTATGGTGTTGAGCACTCAGGAATGTGATTCAGATTCTGGTTCCGGCTCGGGAGCAGGACCTGGGCCAATTGATGCGCAATTGCGGGAATTCATCTCATTGGAGATTACTCGCAGAGTTTTGGAATGGACCTTGGTGGTCTTTTATTCAGCCTAGGAAGGGATTTTGGAGTCCTTCAATGGTCATCTTGAGGCCTTTCTGGCCGGGATCATGGTAGGATAGTTGGGGCTCATCGGGAGCCCAAGGCTTAGAGAACCTTATGGTTAGCTCTTGTCATTTGGGATCGGAGGGGAGTTCCGTACCATGTACTCAGGAGGGTCAGGGTAACTCCAATGGAGGAAGTTAGGATTCCTTCAGATGTTTGCGGTTATGTTATCTTCTCCTTCTTCAAAGTGGATATCAGGAATTTGTATTGCTTTGGAATTCTGATTTAGTTCGAATAAGTTATATCTCGGATCGGTTCTTTGCTATTGTCTGGGTTATCAAGGAGGGTTAAATGTTTTTCTTCATGCTGAGAAGTCTTCGATGAATCTTTTGATGGACGTATCTTGTTGAGTAGGTTTCAGTATGTTCCGTTCTATCCTGGTCCTTGTCCGGATCAATTCAGGGTGTTTCTTGGAGGATATTTGGGAAGGGTTAGCATGATAGTTGCCCAGTGAAGTCAGGGTTCTACGGTTCTATCAACTGTTCGGGTATGATCGACAGTTGCCTATGGAAGAAATTTGGAGTTCAAGGCACTATCGTTGCTAGGAAAGGAATGGTAGCATGAAGATGGTGGTTTCAGTTGCGTGAGTTGTTTGATCATTGGACGTGTCAAGGGAATTGTATTTTCGCATGGACTAAAGTCGGTTAGAGTTCAATGATTCCTTGAGGATAGAAATTAGAGTAGAGGTTTGTTAGTGCTTGGCAAGAGTTATGGTTCTTAGTCGCCGACATAAGAACTCAAGGAATTGGTATGGTATCATGGGAGGTGATTTGGATCATCAGACTGGTTAAGGTCTCAAGAGTATTCTTCCGGATTCCAAGAGTTGGACAATCGTTGAGATTGGCTAGTAATGGAACATTAGTTTTGGTAAGCACAGGTTAAAGGCAGTTCCTGCTATATGAGGTTCAATGGGTTGGGACTCCATCAGACTTATGGGATGAAAGAGCTTCGCTGAATCCAAGTGGGGGAGAATCGATCAGAATTTCTGGGAATTGGATCGGGTGTGGAGCTAAGGTAAGTTCCGCATCCTGGTCATGAATTGAGACGGCTCAAGTGGTCGTTTAGTTCAAGGTTTTATAAGTGGGAGTACAGGGAACTCCCAGCAGTCGGTCGGCATCTTCTTGTTATGCATAGCACGTTTGTGGATGAATCCAGATCGAACGCTATGTTAGAGCCTCGCTACTTGCTCTTGTTTGATGAGGGTTTTGGAATTCGAGGTATGACCCGAACACCTAGTTGGATGTGGGTTTCGACTCATGTGCGTGGGGTTGTGATGGTTAAGGTGTGGTAAGGTCATGGATGGTAACCATGGTCGATCTGAAGTATTGTAAGACTGTGATGGGATTACAGCGCTCACCAAACTGAAGTAGACGAGCGTGGCGATGGCCATAAGGGTATAAGGGAAATCAGTTGTGCCTTTGATACGTCGGCCAGGTCTGCCGAGGAGTATTTCTCTTTTTAGGATTGAGGACCATTGAGGTTCGAGGTGGAGCCGAGCCTATGTAGCCCTTGTTTGGGTGGGACCAGTGGGTGAGGCCCGTGTGATTTTGGCAAATATAGGTGAGACCTGATCGAGACCGTTTGGTCAAGGATTTGGATTTTAAATCGTAGAACCTGGTGGGCGGTCATAGTCTGGCGCAGAGAGGGTTATAGGTTGGGTAGCCTTATTATTGGACTCTTGAGAACCTAGTGGTTGGACCAGGTGTGAGATTAGTAGTCTCGACGTTGGTTTGGGAATCTTTATGTCTCAGTCTAGTAAAGGGTTTCGGATTTCTGGGTAAGATCTCAAGTCGGGTATCGCGAGCATTTTGTGCAGAATTTTTGTTTCCGTGGGTTGAGGATCGGGGTATCTATGTGCTGACGGCATCGATCAAAGGGTTCAAAGGAAATAAATGGATTCAGTTTTGTTTATGGTTTCAGGTATCACCGGTTTGGAAATGAAGGGTCCGGCTTGATCGCAGCACACACACCTATGTTTCTGCATTATGTGATTTTGGGATATAACTCTGATAAATGTTTTAATTAATCAATGTTTGTGAATGTTTGAATTAAATAATATATGTGTTTGTCTATAATGAAAAATGAAATTTTTACCTTGGATTTTTGGGTCGTTACAATATACATGTATGAAATTGCATAATTGTATGTCTCATTTGAGTAGATGTATTGTATACATGTATGAAATTGCAAAGATGTATTGCATAATTGTATGTCTCATTTGATTTTGTATTTAGATGTGTACATATTTGTATGAAATTGGAATTGGAATTGGAATTGCATAAATTTATGAAGTTGGAATTAGAATCATATGTATTGTATACATGTAAGAAATTGGAATTCGAATTGGATGTATTACATGTATTGTATGTCTCATTTAATTGTATTGCATAATTATATGGAATTGGAATTGGATGTATTGTATACATGTATGATTGTGTTAGATGTTTAGGTTTATTAGTTTGAGTGCATGTAAGATGAAGTGATAAAGTGCTTAATGTGCTGTGTAAGTGAATGCTTAATGAATAGTTGATATTGTTTGTATTGTAAGGTGCTTAATAGGTTACTGTGTAATATCATTTTATTTAGTTGATAATATGGTTTTAAAGTACAATGTTATAACAGAGAAAACAAAAATAAGATGCTATAAATTGCTTATTCGTTTTTTTAAAGTATGTTTAGTATATTTTCTAAATTTGTTAAACAGATGGCTACAAATGTTGCGAGGTGGCATGGGGTTTTTTCAGAACGAACAAATCAAATAAAATATACCCACAAGGTTTTCTCCTACAAACCAACTTATATACGTATTTTGTAGCTTACGCTCAATTCCTACAGAATTCCTAAGAATTGTGGCATAGGAATTTACCCGGTTTTCTAGTAGTGTTGATCGAAGACACATAAGTCATCACGGGTTTCGAACGCGAACGCAAGTGGTGCCTTATGTTTTCCAATGAGCAAGTTCTTTTTAGGCAGAGAAAGAGATTGATTATTTCTAGTTTTGTATTTTATCAAAGATCGAGATGGTAAATTGGATATTAGATTAGTTTATTATCTCTTTCTAAAGATTTTGTTTGCTAAAATTCAGTAACCTAACTTTATTTGAAATGTTATTGAATTTTTCAGCAATCTTATGGTTTTGTTAGATATTGAATTGGTTGCATAGTTGATCAATTCATCACCGGATTCCATAAAGTTGTTGAAGTACCGTAGGCAGCGTACGGCCTATGCACCACCGCCAACCCCATCTCCATCTCCACTACCGTCCCGGCTAGAGTCACCTTCAATGCACCTAATACACACTATTACATCTGCACCCTTGGAACTCATTGCCAAATTGGTCAGAAACTCACCATCAACGTCTCCGCTACCTCTGCCACCCCTTCAGCAACAACAACACCTGCCACTCCCGCACCGGTTTCTCCACCCACACATAGCACCAGTCTACAACAACCATCACCCATTTTTGCTCCATATTTCACGCCTGTGGTACCCTTCGGTTTCTTGGCGATTGCTTTAGCTTTGTTTTATTAGATCTAGTGTTTACTTATGTTGAGATAAGTGTACGTAATTCGTTTTTGTTTGGATTTTATCTTTTTTTATTCTATTCATATTTCATGTACTTAAAGAGATTAATATTTGCTTTATACTGAAAATATGAGTATTTCCATTATATTCGGCTTTTTTTGAAAAGAAACATGGGACTACACCACTACGCAATCAATATTACCAGGTCATACTTGGATATGTGACAATTATGACAAATTTTACCACAACGGAATCAATATTACTAGCTCATACTTGGATATGTGACAATTATGATAAATTTTAGAAAATGGGAGCTCGACTTTTTTTTATTGAATTAAAAGATATGGTGATAAGACGGCCGTTCCAGACCTTCTAAGAGAAACCTACAAAAAAGATCGTGCAAAACTTTATCCATATTTATATTCAGTAATATAAGACGATACATGTATTTAATACATTTGTTGATAATACTGAGACGTTTGTGAGTAATGTATACTTTTTAAAAGATTATCTCATGAAAATAACAATAATGAAAATAATTCATAACAAAGTTGAATTATAAAAACTAACGGTTACATGAACAAACGAATCAACAATATTAGACCAACTACGGAACAACATATTTTTTCTAAAAATATAGTAAAATCATATACGTTCGTATTAGATAATACACTTCTAAGTTGTTGTAAGACTGGTCTTGTTGACTTTCTTTTGCAACAAATGATGGATTAAACATTAACGTAGCTTGTTGGCATTCTTTTGCATCATTAACATTTCTTCCTTTTCATACGTCGTCCTTCTCGTTAGGAAATCATTATAAGCTTCATGTTTGTCTTCTTTTGCGTTAACTATTGCATCATTCAAGCTTCTTCCTTTTCATACGTCCTTCTCGTTAGGAAATCATTATAAGCTTCATGTTTGTCTTCTTTTGTGTTAGCTTTCATCTTAAGCACGTAGTATAATAGCGATAGGGGCTGGCGCAGAAACACAAGAGAGACGCCAAGAATTACATTAGAATTATGAAATATCATACAAGTACCTAAATATATAATCTCAAAACTCTTAAATAGACTGAAATATGTTGTCTCGCTACTCTTTACTATAACAAATTCTTATTGCATGGTTGAACGAAACCTCATGAACAAGCAAGACATTAATACTCGCAAGGAAATATATGACTCGCAAACACCGTTATCGAGATTTATTGGTGGGGTTGTTATATATATATATATATATATATATATATATATATATATATATATATATATATATATATATATATGGAACAGTACCATGTACCCTTTCCAGGGTACTGTTCCTTGGGTTACTTCATTCCACCGAGGTTAGTTTAATCCCTCCACCGCCTCATCTCTCGAGTGACTGGAAACTTTGTTCACATATGTTATTTACTCCTTCAAGTTTGTCTTACTTCTTCTATGGGTTTTGTGTTGGTTAATGGTTCCTCAACGGAAGAGTTTTGGTTTTTTCGTGGGTTGCGCCAAGGAGATTCCTTATCTCGTTTTTTGTTTATTCTTGCGATGGAAGTGCTACATATATCCTTTATGAAGGCGGTAGATCATGGTATTTTTAGGGTTATTTCTACTGGTGAAGTTGTTTCGGTCCATATTTCTCACTTATTCTATGCAGATGATGTGGTTTTTATTAGGGAATGGATTGATTCTAATCATCGCAAAATTGTTAGAATCTTTTGATGTTTTTTCTTGGCTTCAGGGCTTCATTTAAATTTCAAAAGTGTAGGATTATGGGAATCGGTGTTTGCTCATAGGTGGTTGAGGAAGCTGCTTCTTTGATCGGTTGTGTTGCTATCTTTAACTTTTTTGTTTCTTGGAGTCCCTGTGGGTGGTTCTATGGCCCGGTTAAATGCTTGGCGTGAAGTTTGCCAAAAGGTAGTTTCTAGATTGTCTAAATGCAAAGTGAAAGCCTTATCGATTGGTGGTAGACTTACTCTTTTGAAGTCAGTTTTAGGCTCGGTTCCTTCCTATTACTTTTCCTTTTTTAAGGCTCCTATTGGTATTTTGGCTAAGTTAGAGTCTTTGATAAGGAGTTTTCCCTTGGTGTTGATGAGGGTGTTAAGAAACTATCTTGGGTTAGTTGGGATACGGTCTTGGCTTCCAAAGAGAATAGGGGTCTTGGGGTTAACAGTTTCTTTGTTGTCAATAGAGCTCTCCTTTTTAAATGGGTGTGGAGGTTTTTTAAAGAACCTGATTCTTTATGGGGTCAGGTAATTAAAGTTATTCATGACTATGATGGTAACTTGAATATTTCCACTCCTTCTTATAAATCGATTGGGACGGATATTCTGGCTTCTATACATCAACTCAAGTCTAAAGGTGTCCATTTATTATATTATTATCAGAGGATTGTATCCAATGGTGAGTCGACGATATTCGGGAAGGATACCCAGTTAGATAATGCCCCTTTAATGACAAGGTTTCCTAGATTATTTTTACTGGAATTAAATAAGCAAGTTTCGGTTGTAGAGAAATTGAGTGGGATGTTGTTTTCCTCGTTTAGAAGAGAATCGAGAGGGGTAGAGACGGAGCAGGGCAACATTTTGCTTGCACTTCTATAGGTGGTTTCTTTGTCTCATGTCTTAGATAGATGGTTTTAGAGGTTATGTGGAACAGGTGATTATTTCGTTGCTTCAGCTAGGGCCCATATTGATTCTACTAGGTTGCCTATGTGTCCTAAGATAACTAGATGCCTTCGTATTCTTCCTATTGAAGTTAATATTTTTGCTTGGAGAATGGCTATAAATATTTTACCTTCTCATTTATTTCTTTCTAGAAGAGGGATGGAGATTCCTTCGTTGCGCTGCCCTATATGTGCGATTGGCACTGATTCGGTGAACAATTTATTCTTCTCTTGCACGCTTGCTTTGGAAATTCAAGAGATAATTCTTCTTTGGTGGGAGATTGACATACCTTTGTTGTTTTGTTATGAAGAGTGGTTATCTTGCTTGTCGGCGTTGTGCATATCTTCTCTTCAAAGGCTATTTCTGGAAGTTGTCTTTGTAGTTTCTTGGTGACAGATTTGTAATTTTAGGAATAAGCCACTTTTTGGTAATGTTGAGCCAAAGAGGTCATTGGTTTTTGATAGCATTATTCTTTCAACTGGTGTCAAAGTAGACATAATTCTAAGTTTAGTTGGTCCGGTTGGCTGCAAAGTCCTATGTTTGTTCTTATGTAACTTTCGTTTTGGTTGGTGTGCTAGTTTTGATTTAATAATATCCCTGCTGTTCTCAAAAAATGTTATTTACTCCTTCCACCGTTTGCGCCATCTTTATAAGTTAGTGACTTCACCATCTGTCTTCAACCACTTCACATATATTGATTCTCAATTCCACCTCCATCGGCAACCGTTGGCCTTCTAAAGAAGACCACTATCAAGTTGACGATGTTTGTTCCACCATTTCATTTATCTATTAACTCTAGCGGTATAGCCCTTCAAGGAGGTAAGGTGGTGATGCCGACAACAACCGTCTTCAAAAGCCCTCCGTTATACCCAAGAACCTGATTCTCCCAAGCCCCTTTATTGCACCCTCAAATAGAGAACGATTTTCTCACCGTTGTCTGGTGATGTCAGAATTCGTAATTGCCAAAACAAAGAACAAGAATGCCTTCGAGTTGATAAAGAACTTGGAAATATCCGTACTCGCGTCATAAACGAAAAGGTCAGGTTGCATTTTTCTCACCTTCTATTTCCCACACATAAGTAGTTTGAAATTGAAAAGCTCAATTTTTAGTAAATTTATTTTACACGTTAACGGTTTCTGAACTTGCAAATTTGCTTAGGTTAAGACGTAAGCGAAGCAAAATTTCCAAAGTTAGGTTTACTTTTTTTTGGTCAATTGAGGGCATTTTGGAAGATGGTTGTTGTCCATACGACATGTCGTCGGTACAGAGTTAACCAACAATCTTTGACCTTGAACTGTATGTCGATGATATATCAGTAGGTTAGGCGGGAAACGCAAAGTTTTTCGTGCCCTTCTAAAAACGTATATCAACGACATGTCATTGGTATATGTCATGACAAATGTAATTTACCTTTATTTTTATTCCATGATGCAGAAGGAAGAAACGATACCGTTGTGGGAGAGCTATACCGACGGCGCGTCGTCGCCTTGCCACGCTGGCAATCCGGGTGAAATGGCTATCCTGACAACGTGTCACCGGTACAACTTCCTGTTTTTAATTATTTTCTTTATTTCATCAATAATCAAAACGACGTAGTCTTGGATACCCTATACCGACGAATTGTCGTCGGCAGAGGGATTAGCCCCATCAAGCTCGGTGACTACGTCATTTCACTTCCGGTTTCTCTTTTTCTCTCTTTCTGTTGCCGACCATACCTCATTCGGTAACTCCCCTTCGCCGAAAACTAGTAGGTATGCTTTTTGGTGCTTCTATTCTTCCTAACTTTATGATTGGTCAAGGTTTTTACTCCAGTTTTGATGTTTTTTCTCCGGTTACAACTTTCACCTCCGATTTTGGGATATTATTTCCGGTTGCAGCCTTCATAGCCTTCACCATCGTCAGTCCTTCACCGCCACCAGCCTCTACAGCTAGCTACACCCGGTCATTTTGAGGTAAGATTCTGATTTCTTTTTTTCTGTTTTGGGCAAATTCGGCAGAATTTTGTTTTGTGTTACTTGTTTAGGCATGAAAATGAAATTGAGCATGATTTTTTTGATTTTGTGTTTAGATCTCTATATATTTGGGCATAATTGGACAAAAATGGTCATATTTATGTTTTGTGTTATTTGTTTAAGCATGAAAATGAAATTGGACATGATTTGTTTTATTTTGTGTTTAGGTGTGTACATGTTTGTATGGAATTGGAATTGGATATATTTTACGCATGTATGAAATTGCATAATTATATGTCTCATTTGATTGTATGTCTCATTTGAGTA